CTCTGTAACAGTTTCTGCATGTGTTCCTGAGAATGTGGAATGTTAACATTTACAAAACAAAACAAAAATGCTAAATAAGCACATCTACCTTCTTTACAAAGACTTCCTAGATTTGCAGGGATACATAAAAAAATTATACTATTGTGATAATTTCTAGAATAAATCTTTATCTGTAATTCTGTGGGAAAACACAAGAGACAGTGACCAACTCTAACCTAACTGCTAACCTAATTGATTAATGGCTATTAGGATGGCACAGAATCATGTACCTACACTGAATTGGGACAGTATTTTCTGAAAAGATTATGTGCTGGCAATGGTCAAGAATTTTGGGAGCAAGGTTAAACAGACTTTTAAAAAAATATGTAACTTTACTATTAAATAACTTAGAGTAAAATCAAAAATAATATTCCAAATCTACAACTTCCTACTTAAATAACCTCAAGAACTCATAAAGTAAGTCTATACGGTGGAAGTACTATAAAACGGTGTGGTGGTGCACAGTCCTCTGCTCCACATTGAGTGACGTCACGATGCAGATTTGCAATCAGTCATGGTAGTTGTATTGACAACACAAAAATGGGAAAACACTCCAATTCAGGTTTGGGGCTTGTGTGTGTGAGGCAAACCAATTATTAAACATTTCCCAGCATACCACAAAAGGTGCCAGAAGCAAGCCATCTGAGTCACAACCAAATCAACCAACATATTGTATGATAAACGTAATATTACATCAGCAAACAAACAGAAAAAGAATACTAAATTCAGTCAAATTGTACACTTAAAGATGCCTTGAATATTAAAAAAAAATTTAAGTCCTTCCAAAGTAGGTATGATTATATTGTCAAAACTGAAAAGTTTCTATCAGACAAATTAGGAATTGATATTAAGAATAAGATTTTTTGCAGGGGGTTGGGTATAGCTCAGTGGTAGAGCACATGCTTAGCATGCACGAGGTCCTGGGCTCAATCCCCAGTGCCTCCATTAAAAAAACAGATTAAGATTTTTTCTGCTTATTTCTAACTTTCAGATAGGAGGCTATCAAGCCTACATTAATCACACACTTTTGGAATATGCCTTAGCCGATGATTTATATTATCCAGAATTGAAACTTATTACATTTGAAATACTTTTAAATCTGATATTGACAAGATCTTCCAGATTGTTTTAACAATTAGAAGAGCAGGGTCCAACTAAAATGTTAACTGGCACCTCTTTCAAATATATAAAAGCTAAATGTAACACAAGGCAAGTAAATGCTATTAAAATCTTATTTCTCTTCTAATTCCCAGCATTCTGAAACTCCCAGACACTCCTCACTTTCCCTGAAGCACTCGGTCTCTTGGCTGTCATCTTGGACCCCTTTCCTCATCCTACCACCTCCCACCCTTCCACCAAGAACATTCCAGACTAATCACACACTCCCACCCTTGCTGCCCACAGCCTTTGGAGGGTCAGTTCTGTTGTCCTAGGCACACCATCTATCACGATAACGGCTTTTATCTCAAGAATCCTGCCCCGTGGGTTTTGGGGGTTCTGGACACCTGCATATCAGTAACTTTCAGCAAACTTTGACATATTTAGATTTGAGACCTTATAAATATAAGCTCTTAAAATATGATTTGATATGAAATTTTCTACAGCTTACTTATAAAATAGAATAAATAAAGACCAAAACCAAAGGACGAATAGAAATTTATCACATTAGAGAGACTACAGGGTACCATTTAGTACTCAGAACTATGAATGGTTTGCGAATGACTGAAAGAAAAACACTGGATAAAAGTTGAGGTAATCAGAGGTAACCTTCACCAAAAACTATGAAAGCACTCAGCCAGCGAAAACAGTTCAGCATCAAAATTTGAGCATGAACCCCGTTCTTCATCCAGAGTATTCTTTTCAAAGCTCTATTTGTGGAGATACATATGTAACTTTATCTATAGAAAATTCATCTTCAATCCCTTTCTCAAAGGCAATACTATTCTTGGAAAAATATAATTTCATTTCATTCCCTGTGCATGTGAGCTAATTTATTACTTTCAGTCTATTAAATACTGCCTCAATGCTCATTCAGGTAGATTAATATTCAGTACTCATACCATGTCTAGTTTTATCCTACTTTTCTCTACATATAACTAACTAGGAAAAAAAATGATATATAAACACTTAGGCATTTATAATTCCACGGCTACAACGTCATTTTACTGAAAGCTACTATGTGTATGCACAAAATAGGACCGATTCGTGGGCAGGGAAGAGTTTACACTTACCCAGGTTATTACTACTGGATATTTGAAATTCTCTCGTTTTCTTCTCTTGTGTGAAAAGAGCATTCCCTTATAACGTGCAAAATGGAACTAAGGCCGCGGGTCAGGAAATAAGGAAAGGTGTCTATACAGGACTTTTTCTGTCTGGCTTCAGAGGAGACCTTTAGGCCTCAAGAAAATGGATCAAGTCTGGGTGGGAGTAGCCCTTTATCCCAGTTAGCTTACATTGATAAGAATAGACCAGAGATTTGGGGGCAGAAGTTCAAGCCAACAATTTGACCAAATCATCCTACATAGCCTCTTTATTACATGGTTTGGGCAAAGCAGAAACTGAGATCTTATTAAAGGAATCTTAACTTCCAGCACAATCAGAAAAACAAAACAAAACAAAACAGAACCTCATCTTCTGGAAACAGTAGACTTTAAATACATCATACTGATTTTGTTCTTAACCATTCTCCTCTTGTTTTTCCTAAGTTGCTGTGTCACAAATTATTTGCACATGTCTGAAGTGCAGAAGGTCCTATTCCTTGGGTGAAATTTGGGGGCTGCCCAACATTTTTACTAGAAATAGTACTGGGTTGATGAAGATAAAATCTGTTACTCTTCTCGGCGTGGCTCCCAGGAACCGTAGGGCTATGTTACTCTTTGGGGAGTGGAGAACTGGCGTGGATTGCGCTTCCATTACCTTGTTGGCTGTGTGTATCAGCGGCTGTGTTGCAATTTTATTCCCTACTCATATTGGGTTCTTCCCTAGGTTCTTTGGCCAGAAACACTTGGAATTTTCATTCCCAGGACAGAGGGGTGACATGTGATGAGGAAAGCTACTTTTGAGAAAACCAATTTTAAGGAAGACAACTTTGTTTCTCTGAGGTGCTGCCCTGGCATTTCTCAGTGTGATCATCCTCACACATTTAGATAAGGGCTCGAGTTGAGAATGCCCAGCTTCAGTTCCTGCTTTGTTGTCCTTGGGGCACTTTTCAAATAACCACTTTGAGTTAAGTCCATAAAAAAATTAGTGACCTCTTCCCCAACCATCTTGTAAGAATAGATGTTTTCTACCCTGTCCTCTATCTCTTGGTCACCCACGACCTGAGAGAGGACTACCCTTGCCCTGGCTCAGTCATGCCCCCTCACTTGTGGAATCTGTAGGTAATTGTAAATCTTGAGACTCTGTTTCCTTCGTGTGGGTATCCTGAAACTGCCCCTTCAGAGAAAACTACCCCATGGGTTTCAACTACAAGATGAAACCTACAAAGGTTTCACTATTGGTAGACTGTAATTTTATAAATTTGTGCAGACACTACAGAAAACAGTATGAAACTCCTCAAAAAATTAGAAATAGAACTGCCATATGATTCAGCATTTCTACCTCTGGATATTCAAAGCAAGCCAGAACATTAATTCAAAAAGATATATGCACACTAATGTTCATTGCAGCATTACTTACATTATCCCAGATATGGAAGCCACCAGGTTTCCTTTAATAGATGAATGGACAAAGAAGATGTAGTATATACATAGAGTGGAATATGAATCAGCCATATAAAAAGAAGTGAAACCATGCCATTTGCGACCACATGGATTGATACAGAGGGTATTATGCTAATTGAAATAAGTCAGAATGACAGATATTTTATGATTTCACTTATATGTGGAATTTAAAAGCAAAAAGAACAAAATGAAAACAGACTCACAGGTACAGAAAACAAATGACTGACAAAAGGGAGAGAGGTAGGGAGGTTCAAATAGGTGAAGGGGATTAAGAGAAACAAAACTCCAGTTATAGGACACCTGAATCTACCATATTATACATCAACTACATTTATATATATATATACATGCATACATTTTTTTTTTTACTTAAAAGTCAAACTCACAGGACCAGAGAATAGAACAGTGGTTGTCAAGGCATGGGGGATGGATGAGGTGGGCAACATGGGAGAAACAGTCAAAGAGTACAGAATTTCCATTGTAAGTTCTGATTCTGAAGGATCTAAAGCACAGCATGGTGAATATACTGAATAATATACTGTTGTGCACTTAAGATTTACTCGGAAGGCACATTTCTCTCATTACAGCTGACACTTGAGCAATCAGAGTTCGGCCTGTACAGGTTCGCTTACATGCGGATTTTTTCCAACAGTAAACACTACAGTGCTCCAGGATCCCTGGTTGGTTGAATCCATGAATGTGGACCCACAGATACCCAGGAGCCAAGGTTATGGAGGGCAGAAGACAAATATACTTGGATTTGCAAATGCTTGGATGGTTGGCGCCTTTAATCCTTCCGCTGTTCAAGGGTCAACTTTATTTTCTTGCAGTAACCAGTGGTAAGAGGTTTGTGTTTTTTAGCTTCTGAATATTATGTGACATACACAGAGCCTTAGCTGTGCAGAAACTGCTTTTAATATCCTCTCCTGCAACTTTTATTTTGCCCCCACTCAGCAGTATGCTATATACCAATAGCGTTTTCTGCCAGCACATGTATCTTAAATCCCCCCTAAAGTGGAAGGTGAAGAGATAGGAGATGTCCTAGGAAGAGGAGTAAAAGAAATGCTTTGACATTCATACCCCTTGCAAAAATCAAAATCTTGTAAATCTAATCTAGTCCCACAAAGGCCAAAGTAATCTATAAATAGCAAATCTGATTTTGCCACTATTGTGGTTAAAATCCTTTAATGACTTCCCACTGTTCTTGGAATAAAGAATAAGGTCCTTTGTCCTTTATATGGTCACAGTGGTGTGACTGATTGTCTCTCAATCACCAGACTTGCTCCAATGTCCCAGTCCATGATCTTGGCTTTCTCTAAATTCCAGGGCACCTCCTACTTTTTCTGAGGACCTTCACACATTCTCTGTTCTCAACCTGGATCACCTCTCCCTTGTTCAACCCATGTCTCTACATTTTTTCCACCCATCAAGTCTCACCCAAAGGTTATTTCCTCAAGAAACAACTCACCAACACAAAGACTACATCAAATTTTCCTGTTCCTTCCCTTTCTCTTTTGCATCACATATCATTAGTAATTAAATAATGTAAGGAGATTTTTTTAGTGTTTCATTCCTCTAATAAGTAAATCCAGTGAGGGCAGGGGCCATGTATGTCTTCTTCACTGCTTTATCCTTTGTAGCTAAGATAGTTCTAGCACACGTTAGCTGCATTACAAGTATCTTTAACAATGACCTTTCCTCACATTTTTAATTACTATGTGACTATTTTAATAATTTAGGATTGCTCTTTATTACTCTTAAATGGATCCTCATGAGTGTACATTACATTTATGAATTTACAACTATTTCTGTTTCTTTGGCTTCTTCCCATTAAAAAAAAAAAGGTAAAGCTTCACATAAGAAAGGACAACTTAATTTTTATCTCTCAATTTTGTTTTTAATTTTAGGCTATTGTAATATTTGAAGCCTGAAAATTTATTGCTACTAAACACAAGAGATATTCATTGAAAAATGGCATGATACGTTCATCTTGGATAATCATCCAAGTACTTGTCCAAACTTTCCCTCAAAAATATTTATTACTAGTGCTATCTTTATGAATTCACAGATTGGCAGATTCACTCTTCCTTCCCTATAACGTGGTAATTTGTATACAACATTCAAGTTCAATGACTTTTATAATGCTTGGTATCTATTTGGAACCTATATATATGAAAGAGAATAGAAAAATATGACCTTAAAATTTCTTAAATAGAAAGTGAGAGAAAGTGAATGACTTTATGAACAACTGGGTAAATCAGTCCCTTTCCCTGATATGTCTAGTCCACAAACAATGTTTAAGTTTGAATTTCCCACTGGTCTACTTCCAGGCAGCTTTGCACAGGTGGTTTTGTGAAGGCCATCTAATGCACCCTACCTGGAATGAGATGCAACAGTCCCATTAAAACCATGTTCCTGCTTTCCTCTGATCGAGCCATAGCTCTGGAGTAAACTTTTGGCAAAAATAGGTGTCTCTTTTTTCTGTACCATAGACTGATATAAATAAGAAGTGGGGGAATATGATGACAGATTCAACACAAAAGTATTCAGCAATGTTGCTCTCAGGACCCCAGCCTACTAGTGCATAACACAACAGAAAATTTGCCTCCCTTAAATGTGTGAAAGTTATAAAAGAGAAAAGCACTGCTAACTTAAGAGATTTAAGAGAAATGTTATTAAAATATTTGTTAAAATGACTTTTTTAAATTACTAACCCATAAACTAAATGAATGAAATAGATCAAACCAGTGGCCTGAGTTGGTAAGTGTGACAGACACACCTGATTAACTTTGTTTATCTATGAACACACTTAAACTGTTCTATTCCTATAATATGAATCAGAATACAAATATTTAATAAAACATACTAAGTCATGAATTCTTAGTCTTATAGCTGAAATAAGCTTTGGGAGATCACATAATTACATCCTACTCCAGATTTAGTTATTAATCTTGTGCTTGTAGATTCCCAGTGGGGAAAAAATACCTATGTACTGTTTCTTCAATCATTGCAGCACACTGCAGCTCTTACGGTCAGAAAATTGCCCATTTTACCTTCAATTACCTTTTCCTATTATCTAAAAATATATATACTTTTACAATGTACACAATAAGGTCTATGTTCATTTCATTCTGCTGTGGATGCTAGACTGTTTTCAACAACTACTAGGAAGCTAGTTTATTTTTTTTTCCCCTTTTCATTTCACGAATGTGTTCAGTATTTGCATAATGATGCCTCCTGAAAGATGAGAGAATGAATGAAGAATAAATAAATTGCAACCTCCCTGCATAATGACTCTACCTTTAAAGACAAGACGGATCGCGTGTGGCCATGCTCGAATGCATCCAATCTATCAATATTTATTAAGCAGACAGAAAGCCAATTGAACCATAACTTGCTTTGTGCTAAGAAAGAAGAGACACAGAAAAGGATACGGGAGGATTATTAAGAAACTGAAGAACCCTTCCCAAAGTCGATACCAGAAGCTCCTACTGAATCTGTTTTTCCAAATCTTTATGTAATTGAACCAGCCATCTACAATGGAAATTAGGAAAGATCACTGAATACGTGTTCATGCCGTGTCAGAGAACCTCACTGTATTCTTCAAACAAGGATCCTCAGTCTCCATTTGTAAAGATGATCTGCACCTTTCACATACGTTGTGCAAGAAGTTTTAGTTATTGTAGATTCATGTTTTATTTCCCCAAATGGAATGTGTTCTTTGAGAGCAGTCAGTGCTTTCACGTCTTTTGAGCTCCATAGAAAAGTGTCCAGTACGTGTAAACTAGTAATAGTGAAGAATTAGTGCAGTATATCTGAAACAAGCACGTATCAAATAAAACCAAAATGCCACTCCTCAGCGTGGCTTCCCCCAGCTTCCTTGATGATAGTAACAGTTATGCTGATTGAACATTCTGTGTGCCAGCCACAGGGCAAGCTCTCTCCCAGTGTCAGTTATTTAATTCTGACCAACTCTTGAGTTTTTTTTTTTTAACCTTCACTGTACAAATAAGGAAAACAAAGTCTGCAAGGTTAAATTATTTTAGCCTAGATTAAAAAATACAGTTGCCCTTGGGATGTGCTCAGAGCAGAGAGACTAAAGAAACAGCTCCTCTGTTTCCAACACTCCCAATGGCAATCTGGGTTCACTGTGACGAGGGGCACAAAACTTGGGGCCTTCCTACCCTACATGTGTCCCCCTACACATGGCTGCTGGGCAGGAACAGTGGGACAGGGCTCCATACTGGGAGAAAAGCCACAGTATTTACTAGAATTTGCCACCTGGTCCATGCATGGGTGGGCCGTGAGTGGTCTTGTGGACCTGAAGGCTTTGAACCACTTTTCAAGGGAAAAGAGAGACTCCATATGCCATTCTGGAGTAGTGAAGCTTTTTAGAGCAGTGGAAATACTTTGTATGACATTATAATGATGGAGTTCTATGTCATCATGCTTTTGTCCAAACTAAGGTGAACTGTGGACTTGGGTGATTATGACGTGTCAAAGTATGTTCATCCTTAAAGAAAAAGTACCACTCTGGTACATAAAAGTAACGACTATGGGAAAAAAATACAATTGACATTTTTAACAACGTGGGGATTAGGGGCATTGACTCTGCGAAGCTGAAAACCACACATAACGTACAATCGGCCCTCTGTATCTGCATGTCCTCTATATCTGAGGTTCTGCATCCAACCACAGACCGAGTAGTGCTGTAGTATCTACTGTCAAAAAAACATGTGCTTCTAAGTGGGCCCTCACTGTCCAACCGCTATTCAATGGTCAATTGTAACTTGAAATCCGAGGCATCAGACCCGGGTTTCTCCAATTCCACAGACCATCCTTTTAGCCTCAGCACTGTACTTCTTGGACCCCTCAGTCATTACCTTGAGAAAGAACTATACAAACAATACGTTTCAGTAAGAGTTAATGATTTAAAGTAAATTTTCAGCTGTCACTCTCTGCCTAACCATTTAAATGTAGCTCCCCACACACTGACAGTATATACTTGTTGCAAATCTTTATCCCTAGATGGTGACAAAAATAGGGGCAAGGCATTTAACTTCACATTAACAGCCTATTTTCTAGTGCAGGTGTATACACACACACACACACACCCACCCACCCACATCCTAGAGAGAAGTAAGGCTAAGAGAAGACAGACATCTGGCTAGTCTCCACTAGACCGCCACCCACATGAAGCCTTCTCTTGTCTGAATATATTTTCTCGTCTCTAAGGATCCTTGAAGCTCTCCTGCTGTTTCCAGTTCAGCATGTTCCTATGCATCTCCCTTTGTGCTCCTTTCTCCCCTATTTCTTTCCTTCTTAGACATCTCAAAGTCATGGACTGCTTTTCATTTTCAAGTTTTCTTCCATAGATACTACATCTGAGACTTCCAGGCTAATGGAGCAGGGTGGACAAGGTGGGGAAATAAAAGTTCTACTTCTTACTAGTCTCAGGGCTTCACACAGGATCTCACTTAAAAAACAAAGTAAAAATCTGGACTTCCACCTTGGCAGAAAAAAGATTCCAAAGTTTTGAGAGACATTGGTCTATTCACACTTCATTAAATTTTTTACTGCTCATTTAGTCTACAGCATCTTGCAATCTAGTTTCCAATCTCACTGCTCAATTGAAACCATCTTTTAAAAGTCACAGCTGGACTTAATGGATAAGGCCATTCATTTGCTCTCCGCAATCCACATACTTTCCCAGCTCTCTGTATCACTTGTAAATACCAACAGGACCCTCTTTAAAACAGTCTTCTGAACTTTGCCCTTCTTATGCCATGTGCTACGCCTGTTCCTCTACCCTAAACGCTATTTCCCGAGTCCTTCACTCAATCTCAGGACTTCAGTCACTCTCCACGGGCAGGCTAAAGCTTGGCAGGGCAAGAAGTAGTGGACTAGGAATCTAAAGTCTTGGGGCAACCAGCGATTTTTGGATCTTCTATCAAATATCATCAAATACATCTCAGACTCCTATACAAAATAGGTGCTGCTTAATAGCTGATTGTGAAGAGAAGAATAAATACAATGAGTGAATATATTCTTAGAAAAAATATGGACATAAACTTATTGACAGACTTAAAATACTTGCTTTGGAAAGATACTCATTCATGATATTTTTTGAAATGAAATGTAGTTGGTTTTAAAATCTTGACAATTTAGTTTCCTGACCCATGATGGTATTTCCATGATGGTGCTATGTGAAGGGGATAAAATGCAAAGGACCAGTAGGTTCAGTCAAAGCAATGTACTGAAGGAAAAGACTGATCGGCAGATATCTTACTTTTCAATGTATACAAAAAAAACATTTTTGTTGACTGAATATCTTAATGTTAGGTTAACTGGGATTTTATCCTCAGATTCTATACATCTCTACCTATGCAAAACAATTAATTGGATTCAGATGATACATGATTTTAATAATTCTCACCTCTTTTCTGAACATTTTGAGACTCAAAGAACCACTGTTTTGAAAGGATGGTGATACGTGTTTGCCCTTTATGTGACTGAAGGTAGCTTTGGCAGATACAGATCACAATGGTACTTCTTTGGCATGAATAGTTGGATATAAGCAATGAGTAATACAAAGTTATTCTGATAACTACAATTACATCACTTAACAGAATTTTTTTAAATCTTTGAAAGTAAATTATGTTTAGATATACTCCTTTGAGAAAATGATTATGGCTATATTCATTTCACATCCTTTTAAGGGGCATTAAAATAGATCTCAACTATGGAAAATTTATTTCTGAGATCATGAGCCATATCCTACTGTCAATTCATTTCAGTGTCAGTTCAGTGGGGAAAATAAATCAAAATTTAAAAAGAAGCAAATTAGAGTTACAACACAAATGTATAATCTTTCTTAAAAATGCATTTAAAGGAATATCATTAATAAGTTTGAAAAATCATTAGCTTAAATGTGCACATTTAAGATACATACTTGAGAGATTATTTTAAATAATTACCTCTGACCATTCAAAGAATGTGTTGGAGTTAATTCTCTTCACAATACACATTAACTAGAATTACTATAAAGATGGTAGGAATGTCTACCTATTTATTACTTTCCAAAATCTGGGTTCCAAGAAGTAATTTAAGTTGAAAGTAGATGGTCACATCAACCCTATGCATTAAATTTTTGGTGAGCCCAGTACCTGGGGCAAGAGTAAATCCTACAAGATACAAGGCTCAGTATCTACAGAGATCATGAGGCCATACGTTATTCTTAGTTGGTGTATATTCACTGTATCTCAAGAGTAAATAATAGCATGGAACGTATATAGACACTGGTAGAGGAACACATCTAGAAGATACCCTAAGACATTTAGAGTCTTCTATTTGCACTTTTTTCATTGTTATGAAGATATATACAGTCTTGGTCTCCACCCTCCTCCTTGATTGTCTGTAACGGTCTGTCTCCATGACGGCAATTCTACCTGGTCATCTAGATTCATATTCCTTACATTTTCAATATTAATTCCAACATTCTTCAAATGCTGATCTCTCTGTTTGGAACCCAATTATCTGCTTATTCCCGCAACACATGCTTAAATTCTTTGAACTGTTTCAGAACTAGATATTCTGCAGCTGCTTTTAATTTCTGAACGTTGAATTTTATTGGTTATAGTGACTTAACGTCTTTAACAAGTATAATTCTCAAGCATCCTTTATATGGTCACTGGGACTCTACTGCGGTGTTTGCCTTTCTTGAAAAGAAGGATCAAACATGATCCCAATCCCTGTTGTCCCCAAACCCCCACAGCTCTGTACTGGATTTTTCCAACCCTCTTCTCTCTAAGACCTGTTCTAACATCTGTATACTTCAAAACTAGGAAAGGAAGAAAAAGAACCAGGGAAAGAAAGAATAATAATGGAGGGGAAATAAATAAATAAATAAATAAAAAGCACTGGTTACAAAGGGAAATGATGCGGATGAAGTCTAGATTGCAAGTGGAAAAGGAAGAGTGCATAACAGGAATGGTTTGAAATGGAAAAAAGTAGAAGAATGAGTAGGAGAAACCTACTTCCCAGCACTTTGATCTTCCCCAAGAGCTTTTAGGAGGGAGGGTTTTTATTGCAAGGAGAATATTCAAAAGATGAGCCTGAGATCTTAAGGAGATAGTTAATGGGTTCTTTTTTGTTTGCTTGTTTAATGGCTGTAATTCTCCAGGGAATAAATATGTTTTGATTAAAAAAAATAGAGGTAATAGTCCAAGTGATGTTATTCAGCATAAATAAGCAGTTGGCCAAATTTTATCATAAAATGCTGACAAGATAATGTCATTAACTATTCTCCTCCACCAGAAAAAGTGACAGACGTTATTATAATCATGATAAAACTTAACAGATTTTCTTATGTAGAAATGTAATCATTTCTATAGAAATGGATAGTCAACAGAGAACTTACTTACACAAAACGTAGAATGAAAATAAACACAGTACTCTGTTTAAAACCTGAGTCCTTTGATTCTTGGTTTGTTACTTTCTTTCCTTTAAAGCAAACTACTGTAACAAAATGAGTTTTGCATTTGGGTTATGTCCAAGGGCACCATTCAATTTCATAATTTCCTCTATACTAATTATACTGAGATCATTTAATTCGTGTACATAGAAGCACTTAAAAAAATCTATGTCAACAATTGCAGTACTATGTTCTTTTCCCTATAGGCATTATATTGCCTAACAGTCCTCAAACAACATAATGGTAAAAATATTAAGTGCAACATTAATTAAAGTGCAGAAAATTAGTATCAACATTGTATTTACAATGTTTTAAATGGAAGACTAATGTTTGGAATACTATTTATTGTCCAGGGACCAAAAATTCATTATTTATTCATATGTATCTATCTATATGAAAATTCATATAATTTACATATATAGATTAATACTATATTTATGTCTATATATTATAGATATGTATGATACCACATATTTACCCTTACATAATTATATAAATGTAAAGCTATCTATCTACATATAGTTATATCCAAAATTCATGTAAATCTCTACATGATAGACCTACTCCACCTCTGCATTATATACATTCAACAGTCTGAAGAGTAAGTTAAGATGAATCCATTTAAAGTGTAACCACAGTCACAGAAATAAAGTCTAAGACTCATGGAACTTTATAAATGTATAGAATACAGAATTATGGCTTTTTTGATATACAATCCTTAAAACAACCTGATA